GTTTGAGACCCACCTGAGCAGGGAGACCTCATCCGTACAATAAATCAGAAAATCATCCGGGAGGTGTAGCGCACGCCTGTAGTTCCGGATACTCGGAAGGCTGAGGCGGAAGGATCACCGGAGCTCAGCAGGTCAAGGCTGCGGTGGCCGGGAGTAGCCACTGCACTCTGGTTTGGGCGACTCAAAAAAAAAAGAAAAGAAAAGAAAAGCTCTATCCATGGTGGTACTGCACACCCCTGGTTACGAGCCACTGCTCTAGACTGTTCCACAGTACAATTGCATTGTATCCTGGGATTTATCTACAACTAACCTTGGCCACTTTTGAAGTAATCATTTTCCTTACTTCAGGATGGGATGAAAGCATGAAGGCAGATTAGATTGCAGACCTCTCAAAACTTCCTGGCAATTTAAACATCTCCAAAGATCCTTACCTTGTCCACGAAACTATAATTTCTCCCTTCTTTTTAACAACGTTCTTTGCAGAAAGGCTTGCAGGAGAAGCGGCAGGAGCTGCTGGCGAACCCTGCATCCCCGCAGTTGTCTTTAATGAAGGATCTTCATTCACTGTAGGAGCTTTTTTCTTAGTCACCTTCTTTCGGTGAACATCCCCATTCTCACAAGAATCCTGACGAAGTTTCTTGGTTTTTCCCCTACTGGTTAAGTCTGTTTCCTTTTTTTGTTTTTTCTGAGAATGACTTAAATCAGTAAGGTTTTTTCTCTTTTTGTGAGCATTATCCAAAGTCCCTGGCAGTTCTGAACTATCACAATTTGACGTCGGCTCTGATTTTAAATCCTCCTTTTTCATTTCACATGAACTGGGAGATTCTGTGGTCAGATCGATATAGGTGTCTCCAACAACGCATTCCAAAGGCCTGTTTGCAATTTGTACCTTTTCTTCCTTACAGTTATCTTCATCTACACATATCACCTGACACCCCAAGTCATCAACAGCTACCTCAGGATGATAACCTTCATTTTTGCTCTCACTTGAAGCATCTTGGGTCAAATCAATGAAAGCACCTACGGTATCAGGTTGCAAAGAATTGCCTAGTATTTTAGAATTTTGATCTAAATTGCCTCCAGAACATTCCAACTGATCGATATTTAAAACTGTTACTTCCATGAAATCCCCCAAGTTTTTGGTTTCAGTGACTGGATCTTTTGTTAGGTCTATGTATGAGTTTGGAAGATGATCTTCAGAGTGCGAGATTTCTTCCATTGAAGGCAATTCTTCAATGCTTTCAGGTACTTTTGGTTCCCATGCTTGATGCAACTTGAAACATTCACCAGCCACGTCATCACCATGACTCACCTTACCTGAGGCATCTTTAAGAAATTCATATATATCAGGAACCTGAGTTTGTATCATACAGTTCTGTCCTTCATGAGATGATTTACTGCTATCAGCACTTTTGTTAGAATTCCCTGATTCTTCCACAGATTTAAAAACTGTGTTCTGACATGAAATATATTCTTTCTCTCCTGCTTCATCAGCATCCTTTCCAACTATGGGCAAAGGTGTCAATGGCTCATCAGGAATCACACTCTGTTTAACACCAGGAGAGGTAAATGGTGCTGCACGTCGTATTTTCACAATAAAATGATCGTTGGACTTTTCCATTATGACAGCATGCATGGGTAGATTAGGGTGGTACTGAAAGCCTGGAGCAACAGACCGGCTTGTCCATGATGAAGAACAACTTGATTTACTGCTTGAATTATCAGACTCTAGAGCTAAATGAATATCTTGCTCAGATGCATCCTCTTCCTCAAGTAAGGCATCTTCACTAAAATGGGCACTAATAACTTCTTCAGGAGTTGAACAAGACAAAACTTCAGGCTTTAAAAAACTGAGATGACCATCTGACTTCAGAGGTGATGGAACTGTTAAAGAGACGGCTAGATCTTCAAGAAGTATGGAAGAAATGCAGGGTTTGCTCTTTTCTGAACTACATCCATTATCTTTACTTAAAGCTAGGTTAGCTGACACTTCAAACATACAACTTTCATCCAATACATCAGGATGAACTGGCAACGAAAGCCCTGAAGACAGAGATGGTCCTTTTTCAGACGACAGTAATGACCAATTATCATCACTACTCATTTTAGGACAAGGAGAAGCCACCCCTGAAACTAGCTCTTCTGCTGTACAGGCTGGTATAGACTCACACTTAAGACTTTCGAGCAGCTGCTTCTCTGGAGTCTTGAGCTCCCACTCACTTTTTTCCGTACAGTTGACGCCGCTGTCTAAAAGGTCCGAACCTTGCAACAAACTTTTAAATATCTCACCCATCTGTGCATCACTCACTAAATTAAAAGTAAGGCTAGATGCTTGCTGTTCAGTAAGAATCTCGAAACTACGTTCTGGCTTCAAAACCGCATGCTGGGATGTCTGTGCATCCTCCAAGCTGCTTCCTTCGTTTCTTCCTGGCTTTGGGGTGCTTGGGCAGTGTAGTTCCAAGGAGTTCTCTTCAGATTGAGAGTTCTTTATATTATCAAAGCAGGTGGTAAGATTTTTTTTAATGTCATGCTTTACTGTGTTCATACTGGAGTTGTTTTGGTCTTGGTATTTCTCCTCAGATTTTTTATATCCCAGTAAAGACTTATAATGAATAGCCTCTTCTGATTTTGGTGATTTTTCTTTTAATGTTTCTTTGTTGGAGTTGTTTGCATTCCCCTTCTGACAATTTGAATACTGTGCTTGTGCTTTCTCTTTATGAGTTTTCTCAAGTTTCCCTTCATCACTACCATTTCCAAAGTTTATGGAATCACAAAACTTTACTAAGATTTTCTTAAGCTTTGCAAACAAATAATCAAGTTGTTCATCTACAAACTTCCATAACTTTTTTTTCATATCTCGTAATTGCTGTTCAAATAAACGATCAACAATGCCATTCTTTTTAACTTGCTTAAGTTTAGATTCTATAACATCACAGAGACTCTTCTGTAAAGTGGTCACTGATTTAGAGATTCTGGATAAGTTGAGGTGTTTAATTAGTGATGTGAAACTCAAAATTGCTGACTCAATAATTCTATGAAATTGTATTAATGAAAATTTAACCTTGAATTTCATGTAATTTTCCCTTATATGTTGTCTTATCATT